AAACACTTAAGTTCAGTAGGACTTGTGGCTTTATTTAACAATAAAAGTAAATTCAGTAAAATATTCCAATAATAGAAACTTTGTATATATTAAAATCAATAACAATGTTAAAATGATTTTGGGAAATAATTTTTCCAAACATATCTACTCCTTCTTAAATTTACAGCTACTACTCGATTGCCAAAGTTTCTTCCTTTGCCCATCTAAGTATTGTTCTAATTTTTTCTTCACTTGCTCCAGTCTTTTATCCTCCACTTAATTGCCCTTGGCGATAGTTTTCTCGTGACACTGTCCACCTATGTCAATGCGCCCTCTATCCTGGTACTGGCTATAAGCACCTCCTTTGGATAATGTTATCACTTTTTCTCGACAAAGCATCACTAATGGGTTTCCTAGTGCTACAATAGTGGAAACTAGTAATAGCAAGAGTAATAATTAGTGGAAACTAGTAATAGCAAGAGTAACAATTAGTGGAAACTAGTAATAGCGAGAGCAACAATTAGTGGAAACTAGTAATAGCGAGAGGAACAATTAGTGGAAACTAGTAATAGCGAGAGGAACAATTAGCGGAGTATTCTCCACATTATCTAATTGATTTTCACAATAAAAAAAAAATCTGTTTGGCAATCTGATTTACAATATAAATTCCCAGATTATTATAGCATCCCACAACAATCGGTCCACTATCCGTTGAGACTTTCAGCGATATAATTTAATCTGTTGGTTGGTTCTTCAAGAGTGTGATGTTTTGGGTCTTTTCCCAGTTGCTTTTGAGCCTGCACCTTACTTGATGGTTAAAAGGGCTGGAAGCAAATATATAGTTTTCCCTCTATCCACAGACATTGTGGTTCATGCAGGGAGATCTACTTCTCACTTAAATGAAGGGAAAGTTATGCCTTATTCAACACAGTTGTCGGAACTTTGTGATTTATCCTATCCTTGCCAGGAAGCATATTCCTACTCTCGAATTTAGGAGTTCTAATGCAGTTTTTGTAGTTAACCTGAATAGATCAATATCTCCTGTTGGGACAGGGTAAGTCTATGGACTTACAACTCTAAAATCAAACATTTTGTTTTCCTTACACTACACTTTGTTGGAAGACTCTCAGAATCACAAATTTCATTGATGACAAGCTGGAACCATTATTAGCATGCACATTGGTTAGATTGTTGGCTTGTACATTCATCCATGTTGTCATTGGTGTCTCGAATTTCATCAGCTCCTACAGGGGGTCATAATTCTGCCCATATTTGAGAGTCCCAACCCCCAACATCAATCCTTCTGTACATTCGTACCCAGAATAGATTCTGTCTATATCCAAGGGTTCCGCTGCTTGTTCAGATCACCGCCAGTGGTATCTATGATTATTGTATGCCTTTGGGGTCTATGGGGGATAGGATCCGAGAATTTCTAGACATGTGGTAACCTAAACCACTGATCCTGGAGCACTACATGTCCTTGAGTCAGGATTAGTCATTCAGTTCACATCTTCACCACTATTATCTATCCAACCTGTAGGGTTTCCATCTCCTGCAAATCCACGGGATTTGGAACTTAGTTCTAGGACTATCAGAGCTTGGTTGGTCTGGGGGTAATAAGTGAGTTGTGCTAGTTCTTTGGATTTTATTCCTGTCGGTTGTTGTGTTTAAGAAAACAGGAGATTGATGTCTAGTCATTGATCTTTCTCATCTATATCAATGCCTTGATTCTCCAAGTTTCACAAGTTACTCATTCCCCAATTTGAGATGAAATTTTTTACTAGGATTGTAGATGTCCAAGTTCATTGTAGTCAGCTCCTACCTGCACTATTGGGATTTTTGTGCACAAGAGTCAAGTACTACAGCTCAGGGTTTTTACCTTTGGACTAGCATCAGCTTTGCATGGGTTCTGCCAAATTGTACAAGTTTTTTCTCATCACCGCCATTCTATAGCACTATTCACACACCATTCCATAGATAACTGGTTACTACTGGCACCATCTCATCAACTGTAATAATATCACACCCAGATTCTACCTTCAGAAACAACCAAGGCAGGCTTCATTCTCAGAGCTGAAACATATATTCTTGCTCTAATTCAATATGTCATAAGTTTGAGTATTTTTTTTTTCAAATGTCTCTCAGTCAGGCTCAGCTGACTCATATCTGGTTTCACACTATGGAATAGGAAGTTCGACTCTTATCTTTACTTCACCCACTGCGCAAATGGTTCTTTCTCTTTAGGGAATGTAAGCATTACTCGAATCCTTCATGTCTTTGGGATGAGAGCATGAGATTTTTATAATGGTCTTTATGTGACCAAGGGATCATAATCATTGATTCACTAGATTCCAAGGTGTCCTTAATCAGGATCATTCTTCAATCTCGAGGAGTTGTTAAGTCAGGACACTACCAAGATATTGGTTCCTTTGCCACCACCTTGTCCAGAGTTCCATGTTTTCACGAATGCCTCGCTTCACGGATGGGGGTTCATATACCAACAGTTAGGAATTCCAGGGTCTATGCATGGATAACAAGGCTTCCTTGCACAATATTTTAGTCCTTCTTGCTCTTCAAAAGGCAATGCCTCATGGTCTGGGCTTATTAAGGAGAAAATTGTCAGGCTTCACTCTGACAATTCCATGGTGGTTGTTTTGGGTCCTTTCTCCCAAATGACCATTCCAGTTACCTAAATGGTATATAAAAATTACATTACATGTCCTTTCTCAGCCTCTGTTTGTGACCTGATTCTCATATGCCATGTATCACTATTACCTGAAGGTTTATTTTCCATTGCTGCTGACCTACAGACATAGCCAGAATGGTTTGTACTGTTTGTTCACAGACCACTTTATCATTCTACCTATGTCTTCAAACCAGTTCTTACCCAAGACACTGTCAGACAGGGAAGGGGTTAAATCCTTTACACTGATTCAACTGATCACTATTTGTCACTTCTATGACTGATTAGATTTCAATTGTTGTCATGTTCAGTGAAGCTCTTGAAGGTTTTGTTGCCTGCACTTAATGCTTTTAGAGATGCTAGACAATGACTTTTTTTGTATTCTGGACTCTCCTTGAAGGTGAGGAATCTTCTGCGAGTCACACCTAATCAGGTTTGTCACATTTCTATGTCTTTATCAGGATGTTTAAATTGCCCACTGGAGGACATGTGCAGACTGGTATGTGCATCCCTCAATACTTTTATCTCATATTACTTGCATTTTCTGGCAGTATCTTCATCTGAGGGTTTTCATCTACACCCTGTAGCTATCTTAATCACTTCTGCTATATTATACAGCGGGGTGGGTATTTTCATTTCTCTCTTACCTCATTTTCACAGGATCCCACACTGTGGTGAGTATTGTCCAGGCAGGTGTGCTTTTACCAAAGCAATTCCACACTAGCAACCACAAATCCAATATATTTTATTTAGGTTGCAACAGGCTCTGTAGAAATGAGGTGTTCCATAAGAACACACAGAGGCTGATCAGGTGGTATTACTATACTATGCTGGACCACCACTCATGGACTTTCACGAGTAAAGCATAAAGGGATCCTGCCTGTCCCTGCTGATCATTGGATTGAATAAATCAGGGCTGGTTTGCTTTTAAAAATTTAGGGAACTTGGTTCACCTATTACACTGTTCCTCAGGGATACCTAATGTGCATTACCCCCAAATTCTACTAGTGGAGCTAGGGAGTCCTTACAACACCCGGCTTCCAGTAAATGGGGTGGTGGACAGAGGATTTTCCTCAAAGTGTTAAGAGTGAATTTTATCCACTCTTGGAGAAGAGGGCAAAGTTGGGAGCGCTCATATCCGGGTCCCTGGATGTTTGTTTTTCCAGATGTCGGCAGGAGAGGCACCAACCTATGTAGGAGCCTACTCATAATACCAGTTCAGATTTGACACTCAGCAATCTGGTCGGGTTGAGTGTAGCCCTTCTTTTTGATTAATATTGGTTCAGTATATTGTTCATGGAAGGAGATCCACTATCTTTTAGTGATTCTGAATACAGGGTGGTCCCATCCTGTGTCCTTGGTTGAGCACAGTTTGTTCCACATTCTCCCCATGATTCCACGGGCAAGTGGAATTTACCTTGCCCACACAGTTGGAGAGTGAGGATAAGTGTTCATAATTCCAGTCCAGATGAGTTCTGTTTCCTCATTCTAAACCTGGGGTGTTGCCATTCGGACTTCTGCAGGTTGAGGAGAAAGTTTGTCCACTTTGGTGTTGCTCACCTTCTTGTTGTGTTTCCAGTGGCTTGTAACATATCACTCTATGGCTTCAGGTTGGGATCAGCTCATAAATATACATATATATATATATATATAGAGAGAGAGAGAGATTGTGGTCCAATAGCCTTAGCCACCAATGTGGGATATAGGGACCATGACCCTGTAATTTCAGCCCTGACTAGTATAATCTCTACTTTCTGGTTGGGGCCTGGCCATTAGTAATGACAAATCATGTAAAATTCCATATACTGTACATGAATTAAGTTCTGGGTGAAGAGCATACCTGTTCTGGATGTAGTGCACTAGAGTGCCAACCTTCTATTGACACATCCATGATCTGTGCAGACACTTTCTGTATGGATAATGCCCTCATTGCCTCCTCCATCTTATCAATGTGGGATTCTAGCTGTAAGTGTGGAAGGAGGAAAGTATGTTTTGGAAGTTAACATTTTCTTAAATCAAAAATGTATTTCCAGTAATACTTACCTCCTTTCACACTCTCCCACCCTTCCTCCCCACTAAGAGCTGGTGTTAGAGACTGGGATTGAGTCAGTCTCGAAAAAGTAATAACATTATCTGATTGATGTGCTTATATACAGTACCAGGATAGAGGGCTCATTGACATAAGTGGAGAGTATCACGAGACAAAGATCACAAAGGGCAACTAAGTGGGGTATAAAAGTCTGAAGCATGCGAGGTACGTATTATTGGAAATAAATTTTTTATTCAAGAAAATTCTAACAAATATTCTCACAGCTACTTTTTGCATTTATTTTTTCAGGTAGCTTCAATTCTGCTGAAGTTAATAACTGGATGGAGGAACTTCAAAATCTGAGAACTTTACATCCACATGATGGATCTGATGGAAGCCTTCCTAACAATGGTTATGTAAAAAAACTACAAGAATAATTTAATAGATAAATATTTATATCTTATTTCCTTCATCAAAACTGAACTAATATTGCATTAAGTATGCTTGTTTACAATTCCAAACTGCCCCAGATAAATGTTTCTCAGCATTTACAGTTGTATAATGATTTAAAACAATGCGCATTTTTATGTTAATATAGTAGTTGTGTTCATATATTTTCATCAGTTATGGGACTGGTAAATAAGATTTTGCTCAAATGCACAAATGAAAAAAATATTTACTTAAGTCTCTCACTATTGGCTCAGTCAAATTCAACCAAGATGCTGACCCCAAATTCACCTTTAAGAGTTTTCATACTATAACTTCTAATATGTTTTGTGTATTTTCACAAGCTTTCAGTAAACATTGTCTTTTGTAAACAAAAGATCAGAATTTTTCATTATTTTTACTACAAATTTCTCTGTGATTGTGTGAAGTCAAAGTATTGATTGATTTGAGTGCAAAGAGATTTTCATGTTAAATTTAAAAATACTTTTCTTCATCTGAAAATTATCAAATTTCATTTGCATAATCTCAAAACCTCCTAAATAAATTTCAATTGCTTTTTTCATTAAAACTTTATATCTTATCTGTTATTTTCTCTATCTTAACTCTATGCAGGGTTGGTTAATTTGATTAACTTTGTAACCACCATAACAAAATATGAAGTAAATCTAAATTAACCTTTTTTTCTTTCTTTCTAAAATGGCTTCAAATTGTAACATGAAACTATACTTGCTTATCCTAAATAGCTTGAAGCTCATAACAGTATACATCTCTTTCTGTTTAAAGATTATTAATTTATTGTCCTTTGAACCATGTCTAAATAATAATCCTGCCACACAAACTGTAAACCATTTGGCAAACACATAGCTCACTTTATCAAATTACATAATGCACGAACTCTTGTGAATGTAACTCCTGAAAGTTTTTTATTATTATTGTTATTTTTTTTTTTTCTTTACCTTACCTAATCAAATGTAATACGTTTATAATTTTTACATTTTAGTTTCTTTTATAATGATAAGTAAAGAATACACATGAAAAACGAGAAATATAGTACTTCCCAGGGTTTTCTTTTTGCTGTCCATAAAGCATGTAAGAAACATGATATTGCTTATAGTAAATCAAAAGCTACAGCTGACAGGCATATTGCAAATCAACAATTTATAGATGATATGAATTCTATTTAGGATCCAACTAGATGAAAGAATTGCTAGAGGAAGTATAATACCAATTATTAAAGCTAAAAGAAATATTCGACTTTGGCATTTCATCCATTATTTACTGCTTAAACTATAAAACAAAAACTGAAATAGACTATTCAAAAAGCTTCCTCATAGAATGCAAGACCTGTGATTAAAGGAATATGTAAAGTTTGTTGTACAGGAAAGTTTCAAATATTTAAAATATTTTGAAAGAAATATGTTATGATCCAGATAGAGGTTTTAGTGGTATACAAGAATTATAAAGTAAAAACCAGTTACATCAAAACGAAACAATAAAATTTGTACCCCAACAAGATGACCCAAACAAATTAGACATAAATTTAAAAGAAGAAGAGTTTTTGTAACATTCTGCCAATCAATGGCACGCAGGTTTAGAACATACGAGTCAATTTAAATCTTCTACTAGTAACAAACTATATATTTTATCAGTTATAAATATTTTAGTAAGCATAACAAGACTGTTCCAACCAAAATAGAAATGGGAGAAGAAATAAAATGTCTTAAATAGATGAAACCAGGAAAATGCAAAGTGATGAAGAAACAGAATTCATTCATAAACAAGGCCAAAAATTATTTAATGATCAGAATGTAAACTGGTTTACAACTGAAAGTGATGCTAAAGCTCAGACTAGTGAAAGATTGAATAGAACTTTGAAAACGAAAACTTGGAAATACTTTACTTGTTTGTTTGTTGGGTTGTAGTTAAGCACAAAGCTACACAATGGGCTATCTGTGCTCTGCCCACCATGGGTATTGAAACCTAGTTTCTAGTTCTAAGTCCGCAGATATGCCACTGAGGGGCAATACTTTACTACTTATAATACAAGGAAATGAATTGGTATTTTAGATTATAATAATTCATATCATAGATCAATAAAGGTGACTCCAGTTGAAGAAAGTAAAAGCAAAGTATTTAATAATGTATATAATGTAAAAATTATTCCTACAGCTAGATATAAAGTTAGAATTTCAAAATATATATATATGACTGTTCAAAAAAAGGATATCTCACGAACTCTACTGAGAAGATATTTACAACTGAAATTTTGCACACAGATTCTATAACTTATATATAGAAATATGATATATGAAATATGATAAGCAACATGAAAAATAATAAGAAACAAAAGGTGATAAAGTATTTGTAAAACGGTTAGGATATCATTATACGTTTAATTCTTTGATACTTTATAGGTAGTTCTTCTTTCATTTTGTTGTATAGATTGATGCTATCAGTCATAAAAATTCTCAAAATGATTTCCATCTTTCGATAATTTTCTGATAATTTTTCTACTCTTGAATTAACATTACGCTTTTGAGTTTTGATAACATAAGATATTCCTATAACTGTTTCTTTTTAATTAAAATAAATATTTGTAACTTATCTAAATTATGTGGTATAACTACTACTATTTCAGTATGTTATTTGTCATTACTTTCAATTTAATTTTTAACTGAAATATCTTTTTCAAAAATTAGTTATTCAAGTATTCAATTTGATACTTATACTTTTCTTCAGATTTAGATTCCCCAGCCTTTCTAATTGATGGTAATACTTTAGATGTTACTGAGTCAGTAAATTTCTTTGCTAAGTACATTTTTGACCTAAATATTAATTTGTACAACCCCCTCTCATTAATGAAGATAGTGCAAAGTTGTATGTTAAAGGGGTAAGTCAATGACTGACATTTTATATTTTTTAACATTTGTTTATTTTTATTATCAACATCGTCATAAATAGTTTCAGTGGGATCTTTATATTTCGGCTACATTGTTAGCTTTAAACCAAGGATGATTATTTTCATATAAAATGATGTATACAAACTTATTATTAAACATTATAGCACTTATTATATCCAAACGTCCTCACATTTGCGAGTCAATTCAATTCAGAGACGTGGCTCTGAAGAGGGAACTAGAACCAGTGTTTAAACAATGTTACTACATTAATGCTTCAAGCCCTGATTTTATGTTTGTTTGTTTTGAATTTCGCGCAAAGTTACACGAGGTCTATCTGCGCTAGCCGTTCCTAATTTAGCAGTGTAAGACTAGAGGGAAAGCAGCTGGTCATCACCACCCACCGCCAACTCTTGGGCTACTCTTTTACCAACAAATAGTGGGATTGACCGTCACATTATAATGCCCCCACGGCTGAAAGGGCGAGCATGTTTGGTGGGATGCGGATTCGAACCCGCGACTCTCAGAATGCGAGTCGAGCGCCCTAACCACCTGGCCATCTGATTATATGAAATTACTGTATGGCATTTGTCAGTTTAATACACACAGTAAAGAAGGGAGGAAGTTTGTTTGTTTGTTTTGGAATTTCGCGCAAAGCTACACGAGGGCTATCTGCGCTAGCCGTCCCTAATTTAGCAGTGTAAGACTAGAGGGAAGGCAGCTAGTCATCACCACCCACCGCCAACTCTTGGGCTACTTTTTTACCAAC